TGCATTGTACAAGCGGTTGGAAAATGGGGTTATGTTATGTTGACTGTAATGGCTTCTGCTGAGGGTTCACCCCGTGGCTCCAACGGGAATATTTGTGGAAGGCAAGCCCTACAACATAAGCGAGAACTCGAGTGCGTATGACCGGCACGGACACAATTCCTTTTTCACACTTATAAAAATAGTCCTGTACCAGTCATTTTTCTCAATCGCTTATTGAACAGCTTTGAAGATTTAGATAGAGAAAATCTCTTGACAGTCATGTAAGGAAAATCTGGTGTTAATCCTTGAACTAAGCCCGTAACTCGTGACTAATGTGTAGAGAAAATCTCTTGACAGTTATGTAAGAAAAATCTGTTACTCAAACTAAGCCCGCCATTTGTGACTTATGTGTGTCCGTTGCTTGTGACCAAGTGTGTCAAACAATTTTATGATGCTTTCGCAGCTTTCAGATGATTTTGACAATCGATAGAGGAAGTCTTTGTTCCACCTCGATTGGCAAAATTATCTGAAAGCTCCGAAAGCATCGTAAAATTGTTTGACACACTTGGTCACAAGCAACGGACACACATAAGTCACAAATGGCGGGCTTAGTTTGAGTAACAAATTTTTCTTACATAACTGTCAAGAGATTTTCTCTACACATTAGTCACGAGTTGCGGGCTTAGTTCAAGGATTAACACCAGATTTTCCTTACATAACTGTCAAGAGATTTTTTTTACACATTAGTCACGAGTTGCGGGCTTAGTTCAAGGATTAACACCAGATTTTGCTTAAGTAAGTGTCAAGAGATTTTCTCTATCTAAATCTTCAAAGCTGTTCAATAAGCGATTAAGAAAAATGACTGATACAGGACTATATTTATAAGTGTGAAAAAGGATTTGTGTCTGTGTCGGTCATACGCTCTCAAGTTCTCGCTTATATTGTAGGGCTTGCCTTTCACAAATATTCCTGAGGTCACGGGGTAAACCCTCAGCAGAAGCCATTGCAGTCAACATAACATAATCCCATTTTGCAACCGCTTGTACAATGCTGAGAAAAGGCAAAAGTTGACCTTTCCTTTTCTGGTATCTTACAAGGAGAGGATACTTGGTCGAAAGCACCAATCCAGATGAGACATATGTCATCTTAAAGCGCTTGAAAAGCTGATCCCAAATCTGCAGTTTTTAGCAGCGGAGCGGTTTTGTAGCAGGAGTTATGAGGGGTGTTTCCTTCCGAGGCTGGGGCGTCCTCCAGCAGGCCTCCCTTATCTATGAGCACTGTAGAGGAGTACCAGCTTTGGCAATTGGCCTAGTTGTAGTGACTTGCATGGTGAGGAGAGTGTCAAGATTTCAACCCCTTCGTATGCAACCTTCATCGCAATTTTTGCAAAATTGAGGTTCTTATAGGCGATAGTGATGCTGATCGAAGTTAGAAGTGTTAAAAAACCAAAGTAACACGAGTATTATAATCTTATTGTAATCTTCATTCAAATTACTTACCATGAGGCCAGTTTTTACCAGTTGGTACTCCTCTACAGTGCTCATAGATAAGGGGAGACCTGTTGGAGGGCGCCTTAGCCCTCATAACTCCTTTTACAAAACGCTCCGCTGCTAAAAACTACAGTTTTGGAACCAGCGTTTCAAGCGCTTTAAGAGGACATATGTCTCATCCGGATTGGTGCTTTCGACTAAGTATCCTCTCCCTGTTAGTACAGCCTTTATTCAAAGACGTGCATTTATATTATGAACTAGCTGGCTTACCCGGCTCCGCCGTATCCGGACCAAACTTGGCACACATACACTTCGGGCCCCGGCGGGTGTCACAGTCCACTTTTCGTTATCGATCGATGTCGATTTTACCGATTTTTATCGATTTTTTTGCAGAGTTCACCTACAGGGCTAGGAGTTGGCACAGGGGGAAGTGAGCATGGGGATTCCGAATACAATATTAGTTTTCAGGATTATCGATTACTTTTATTGATTTTATCGATTTTTTGTAAATTTTGACATGCGAGGCTGGGATTTTGCACAGGGGGGTAATCGAGCATGCTGATCACGAACACAATATTAGTTTTCAGGATCGTCCATTACTTTTATCGATTTTATCGATTTTTTTGTAAAGTTTGACCTGCGGGGCTGGGAGTTTGCACAGAGGTAATCGAGCATGCAGATTACGAATACAATATTAGTTTTCAAGATCGTCCATTACATTTATCGATTTTATCGATTTTTTGAAAATTTGAGCTAGGGGGCTGGAATTTGGCACAGGGGTGTAATCGAGCATGCTGATCACCCCCCTTGGGGATGATCAGCATGCTCGATTACCCCCCTGTGCCAACTCCCAGCCCCCTAGCTCAAACTTTGCAAAAAATCGATAAAATCGATAAAAGTAATCGATAATCCCGAAAACCAATATTGTATTCGGAATCCCCATGCTCGATTACCCCCCTGTGCGAACTCCCAGCCCCGTAGCTCAAACTTTGCAAAAAAATCGATAAAATCGATAAAAGTAATCGATAATCCTGAAAACCAATATTGTATTCGGAATCCCCATGCTCGATTACCCCCCTGTGCCAACTCCCAGCCCCGTAGCTCAAACTTTGCAAAAAAATCGATAAAATCGATAAAAGTAATCGATAATCCTGAAAACCAATATTGTATTCGGAATCCCCATGCTCGATTACCCCCTGTGCCAACTCCCAGCCCCGTAGGTGAACTCAGCAAAAAAATCGATAAAAATCGATAAAATCGATATCGATCGATGACGAAAAGTAGCCTATGACACCCGCCGGGGCCCGAAGTGTATGTGTGCCAAGTTTGGTCCGGATCGGTTCAGAAATGGAATTTTCTATTCGGAACATACGTACATACATACATACATACATACAGACATACAGACATACAGACAAACAGACATTCAGCTTTATATATAAGATTCGAGAGTTGACGATAAATTTTTTTCTCTCCCCAGTCCTAATTGCTAGGGGCGTTGACACGATAGCCACGTCGAAAGCTCTACGGACCACCCAGAGCGCTTGAGCGCAGTCTTCTGAAGATGACTCCACACAAGCAACATCCGGACTTTGCAGTACGGATATGAGAAAAATGTCCCGTCTTCGTGACCCAGTGGAATACGTTGCGAAAGCCAAACACCGATAAGCCGGTCACATAATGAGAAGAACAGACGACAGATGGATACTAAGAACATCTGAGTGGATTCCTCGCGAAGCCAAACGTCCTCGAGGAGACCACCGACGAGATGGGCAGACATGTTCGTGGAACGGATGGACCAACTGAGAAACCAGGGAGGACGACCAAGAAGATCGTGGATGTCTGAGGCGAGGGACAGGGACAAATGGAAACTCTTGTACTGGGGCCCGCACGCCACGTGAAGACGGGCCATGTAAGTATCCAAGTGAGTAAGTATAAACATGTTTGACAGAGCCGTAGTATATCCTCGGTACAATTTTGCAGCATTTTCATCGAGTTTATAAAAAGATAAAGAACTGCCAGAACTTTACCCAGCCATACCGAACAAGCTATAAATCATCGGATTGGCCTTGAGACGCTGACCTCAGATAAGTGTTAACTATCTGCCAAAGACTATCTGGACGCACTGGACGTTTGATTGTGCGATTTCTCAAGAGTTCTGTGGCTCATGTTCTACGAAGCAGGTTTTAAAAACATTGTTTGTTTTGTTCAGGCTTTTGATGAATGTGATTCTGCCCTGTAATCAGAATACCCTTAGCCACTGTAAATCCGCGCCATCGGGCTGCCTTTCAACGAACTGTCGTTCGAACTCGAATACTCATCTTTGAGCGCTCATAACTCCATCTAGGTTGGTTGATCGATTAGCAGATAGTAAACATATATTCGAATTCAGCATTTCAAAGTGTGTCCGATGAGACACGGGTTGTTTCGAATGCCTGGGTTAAGTCCTGACCATTTCCTACTCAGTCAGGCAGGGTTCTGCCATCCATTACACTCAAGTATTACTGTGTGTGAGCCTTTATATGATGGATTGAAAAGGAACACTACAGATACGTAAAGTGGAGAGTCCCTCTCAGATCCCTCTTCTTCTTCGCAGTGATGTACATCCATAAGGGCCTTAGATTTCATAAACAGTAATGGATGCTGGAAGCGTTTACTGCAGAATGTGCCTTATCCCCACCAGAATGTTGTCGACATGCAAATCTAGACGAGATAAAAACCTTAATTTGAAAGTCGAATATTTTTCGAGCTGTTGTTGATTTGTTGTTGATTTGTTTTTATCCTTTGAAGTGAAGTAGTTATGCATAGCTCCAAAATAGTAAATCTTGCATAAGTTTAAAAATGGTATGAAGCCCCCAATGATAAAAACTAGTATCATCATTCTGAGACAAGAAGATCGGGAACCCTTTGCAAACATTGTCTTAACTATGGTGAACTTGTTATTTGGTCAAAACTAGCGAATATTGGGAGGTTGACCTTTCTACTGTCTCCAAAACCACCCTATTTTTTGTCTGAACACGTCACGCACGCGGAAAATTTCGAATGATTGTTTTTTGTATATACTTGTATAGAAGACAAAGCAGCACGTTACTCGGGCGAGTAATCACTTATCTAATTGGCCTTGAGGTATAGATCGAATGTTTTTCTGCTCTGGATGAACGCTGTTGAGGGAATTTATATGAAAAAAAATACAAACGACATCATTACTTGTTCGAAAATCTTTAGTATATAAGCAGGCGTCTTTAAGTAAAATTCGCTACCTCTATTTCAAGCAAAACTTTTATCGTTTCACATTTCATCTTTTTTCCAGTTTGGTAGTTAACACGCATTCCATTGTTTAAATACGCATTTGAGAAACATAAGCTTATGTTTCACCTTCAGATCCGAGCAAGAAGATTCTTCACATCTCTACTATTTGTTTTATCTGCGATATACCATATTGAAATGAGACTCGTTGGATGTTTATTGATAACTAGTTTTCTATTATGCTTTTTGATCACCTTTTTTTCTGATCATATGAAACTTTATCTGTAATTTCAGACACTTTGGCATCACTTATACTTCATTCTAAACAACAAGTATGAAATTGATGCTCTTCATGCACTTACTCGTGATATTCCTACTGTTGGTAGGTTTTCATGACCAAAAATCCTAATCATTCCAACAGCTTACAGTCGACCTTGTTCGATGAAGCTGACGCAAAGAAGAAAAAGAAGGCGAAGAAGCCTAAAAAACAACCCAGAAAAATCGAATGTATTTTTACGGACAGAATTGAGTGTTCATGGTAAATCCTGTTTTCGTATAAAGGCATCAGATCTACGATCTTTATGTATGTATGTATTCGGAAGGTCATATCTGTTACCGTTTGTGTGAAAACTATTTGCTAAGTTGATGTATTTGCTTATCATCTTATAGCACATGCTATTAGTTGATCCGTTTGAACCATTTCATCCATTTCACTATTGGTTGATGGATGGAGTGGATCAAGTGGATCAAGTGGACATCCGCTTCGGATCAAATGGATTTGGTGCGTGCTTATGACACGCCCGGCTCGTCACGATAGTCCTTTCTTGAAGGGTGAATAAGAAACATGGCGTAAGTCAAATAAACCCGATTAAAACTCTGTCCAGTGAAAATGTTGCTAAGGCGTGCGCAAACTGTACAGAATTTTTGTGAATCTTTTTGAAATCAGCGGATAAAATGGATCGCTTCATAATTTGCTAGACAACATCGATAAAGGGGAAAAGACTATGTTTTTGTTCATTTTTTCCTTAACATCTGATTTTTGCAGTATTCCTTTCTTGGATAATCAGTTTTGAGTTGGATTCTCAAAAATTGCTTCAAACTTTACGTCAGCTAACATTTTAAGCGAAATCAACATCTGCTCGTTGCCTTACCACTGCAAACCACGCTTGAAAGACACATTAAGTATAAAAGAATATTTGTACTAAAAAAGGACAGACTTTTTTGAAATTGGAAGGAAGGTCTTGATTGAAGTGGTTTTCCCCATGTAAATGTATCCTACTATTACATATATACATTTATTCATCCTTAGCGGTTATATACAATCAATACCGCGATGATTCCGTTTATGGCTTGAGTTGGGCGACTTCGACTTCGATTGTCTTCGATGACAAGAATTCATTTGTTTGTGCCAACCAGCGCATTCTCGTGACATTGCGGTCTTGGTCCATGACTTCTCGACCAAGTACTCAGATAATCGCCGGGGGCAGGCGGCCATGCGATTTATGGGCGGGCGGGCACCGGAAAAATAGTTTGCTGATTCCTTGCGGCCCGCTTGCAGATATTTGAAGGAATTTTAGCGAAATTCTAAACGAGCGCTTGGAGGACAATCGCGGTTTCTTTAAAGATTAGCTGCGGCGCAGTGGCCGCATTCTCGCGGACTTTCCGCGAGAATGTGCAAAATTTTTGAGGGCCGCACGGACCTTTGTGGAGGACCGCGCAGCCCCCAGGTACTTTCCGTTGAGAGAAAGTACCTCAAACTTGAGTAATATTAAACCAACGGTGACACCTCTGCCACACAGAGTCTTACCTGTGCTCGACGTATACCCGAAACTGCGTAAAAAGGGTCCGAGCGCCTGCTAAAAGTTCGGCCAGCGTTTGCTGAAAGAGATTAATTGACGAGCGCCTGCAGAAAATTCTGTGTTGCTGCCCGCTGGCAGAACATTAGACAGTAAAGGAAGTGCCGCCCACTGAAGGTTTGGCCACGCCTCAAAATTCTGCTGACCGCCTGCAGAAAAACGCGAGTTTGCGGACCGCCTGCCCCCGGCGATTATGTGAGTAGACGCAGTGGACCAGCCACGGTTTCTTCCACCTTGTCTTCTTGATCCTATCCTTGGTGGACGATATAGGTCAGAGCTAAAGCTAGCCGACCGTTTGCGGGAAGGATGAGAAGAGAAGTATCCTACTATTATGGCACAAAAGCTCTTGCCTGATTCAATCAAAATTCAATAACATTTTAATTTTTCAACAAACTCATGATTTGTTGAGACCAGGAAAACGTCTATTTTTCGAGATGTTAGTCTGTTCACAACTTTTCGCTGGCTGTTTTGAAAAGCCTTAGATTTTAATGGCTTTCTGAAACTATTACTTCAAGTTTGGCTTCAATCATAATAAATTGCCGCTATTTAGCAAAAATATCTGTTGAACTTTCCTACACAGCTGTAGCCCATGTACGGCTAAAGCACTCTTCAATGTATTTATCCTGCGAGTACGCATTTTAAAATCGCAAAAGTATCACAGTATTCAAACTATGCATTAGGACAGGATTCAGGTCTTCAGCTGTATTTCTGCCGGAAGATTACAATGTGAATTTCTTCTAAACCTCGACGTTCTTAGCGAAATTTGTTTTTGCTTTTTTTGAGAGTGATGGGCGTGCCACATTAATTATGAATTATTTATGAAAAAATGCCTATTTTTAAAGATATTTAGCGGTACCACAGTAGGTCAGAAACTCAAATCATGAGTTTTGAAGTCTCAATTCCTACAAGGTTAGCCGATGAAGAATGGTTCCAACCACTTCCGTAAAACGCAATTCTTCACTTCTATAAACAAAATCTTGGCTTTAGATCGAGAATTTGGCGACTTTTCCAGATTCATAGAACAAGAAGGCTACTTATTGCTAGCTTCATCGATAAAATTACATGTATGGCGCAGTAAAGTACTGTTACCCCATGCCTCCTCTAAAAGTTCAGCCCGACGCTAGAATTGTGAGCAGAATTTTTGTTTCAGAAGGTAGGATCAGGGTAAATGATTTGTTCTGTGTCTTAGGGGCATTTGCTTAATTCATCCGCTTCTTGGCTTCCTCGAGTACTTTGTATGAAAATGTAGGTTGGTATAAAAATTCAAGAACTAGCGAAACTTGACCATGGCAAAAACCACTGTTCGTGCTTTTTCTACATATAATTTTCTAAGAGCTTTCGGTTAAATAGCATAACGACACCATTTGAATTGATGGCAAGCTACTTAAGTACACCTAATTTTCACGATCCTTGTTCTGCTGGACATTATGCTCGTTTATAAGGCGAAACTACTTCCATTACGAACTAATAGAAAAATTTTTACCGTTTTAAGCATCAAACTATAGTCAGATTTTACTTTTCGGAAACCTATATGCTTACGCTTGTATTGCGTTCCCTTCATTTTGTAAAAAAATTGATTTTCCCAGTAAAAGTGATTGTTTTCTGGTACCACATCATCGTGAAACAAATATCTCGGTTTCTGATGCATTAATTCTGTTCACTGTTCATGGAAAACATGCAAAAATGCGGAAGCTGATGACACATTCGTCAACCTCAAAGTCGTTAGGGCGACTATGATACAGAGAGCGTGCGAAAAAACTCTTTACGAGCGACAGTTTGTCAGTATTCTGAGATACCCTCAATCTCCAAAAGTTACACTCGAAGCAGACTTCTGACCTTTGAAAAAAGATGAATGCATCTTGTATGGCAAAGAGATGAGCAAAGGCTGAATGAACACTTTCAAAAATGAAGAAACCTTTCTCAGACAAAAGCTCTGCAACTAGCTGGCTTCATATAGCCCACTATAGCTATTCATCAACATAAATGCATCAAGTAACCATCAACGCATCAGCGCGAGTGAGACCAAAAGTTTTCAGAGAAGAATTATGACAAAGCTTACGGTCCAGTAAAATTCTAGAATTTTGCGTCATTTTAGAAAAAGTAGTGGAGTCATACGCTATTATTCAGCGTTAGCAATTAAACGTTTTCGCCTTTTTTGCGGTTGAGTATGCGTTCGTCAAGTGAACATTTGCACTAATCATGATGTAAAAATATGTATGCAACAGGATTTCCGAGAACAAATCTGCTCTGAACAGCGTTAGATTATGATAAAGAATTTGAAAAGATAGAGGGCCCAAAAATGTGGAGAAAAAAGGACCCAACAGTTCTGAAAAAGGTACAGGACGTGAAGTGCCTTGAGTAGATTAGTGCAAATCATTTGACAAACGCATGTTCAACCGCAAACAAGAGAGAAAACGTTCAAATGCTGACTTTACTAAGTAAGCGCTTCATTCACTCTGAACTAATCAAATTGATGACAGTCATTCGATTTGAAGCTAAGCATAAACCTTTATTCAGCCCAGCAAATCATCAAAGACAGAGACTGATAAAAATTTTCTTAGTTAAATTATTCAACCGGCTGTGCCAGGCTTCAATGCGCAAGAAAGATGTCGGCAGCTTTGCGAATCAAGGAGCCAGATTGGTCGAACCCTTATGCGGGTACTATACCAAATGTTCAATAGAGATTATCGGAGGCGAAAGGAGGAGAAGTGAGAAGTGCGCAAAACCTTGCTCCCCCAAAAATAAATTGCCGCATTGTCGCATGTCCTTCTTTGGAAGGGCAGCCTGACGCTGGAATTGTGAGCAGAATTTTTGCCGCAGAAATTAGGCTCAGGGTGGAATCGAACCCGTGACCTTTAGCACGGCAATGTTACGTAGAGCACTAACCACTAGACTAGCTCTGCTCTAGAAATCCCAAGAAATTGTAGCAGTTAATTTTTCAGAGCCCTATAAAACATGCTGTTTACGAAAGTTACCGCACAGGTAAGGTGAAGCCTCTTTGTAGCTTACGGCAGGGGTACGGCAAGGTGCGAAGGTTTTGTAGTTTGATGAAATTTAGATGGAGTTATTAAGTATGCCGTTTGCAACAGTGTTAGTCTTTGAACTAATCAGTGAACTTGTTAGTTGAGAGGAGTGAAAAAATTACCAATTTAACCCTTTTTCGCCCAATCGCGGCACCACAGCATTTGTTTACGCGCAAATTTTACCGCATTTTCTCGGCACCGAGCGGACTACATTATGCGAAAATTAAATTGAACACAAAGAAATTCCAAAAAGCTGTCGCGTCTGTGGTCGCTCTACAGTCAAAAGGGCACCCACCGCTTTTTTCACGTCTCCTACCACTCAAAATACAACATAAAAGGGCTGACATAGGCAAGGAGTTATAGTTAACCAAAACAGCACTTTCTCGTGCTATATAATAAAATTGCTTGAATTTACCACTTATCCCTGTAGGTTTGGTAGTTGGAAAGGAAGTCTAGAGGGAGACCCGCAAGTCAAAGTCGTCGTGTCAGATGTAGAATATACAAATTTAGGTCGTTCCGAAAGTAATGTCGTTTTTTTTTGAATAAACGCCACATTTCGAGGAACCAAGATTTTAAAGAGCTTTTGGGATCAGTCGACGCAGCATTTTATCCTCTTTCTAATGGTTTAAATTTCATTGTATAATATTCAATGAGCTCTCGAAAAATTACCAAACCTGCGACTCATGCTATTTAATTCCCCGAAGATGTATAAATAACAGATAAATAG